TTTCATTCTCCCTTTCTGCATTAAGACATGTGGTAATTGCTCAGAAATGTTCTCCCTGGCGTGTCTTTACTGCTTACTCTGGTGTCTTATTGCTCGTGATGTTTCTGATTGCTTACTGTTGTGTCTTATTGCTTGTTGATATATCTTCTGGTTGGCTATAAACTGCCTCTAAATTGGGTACCACAGCAGTTGAAGAAGGGCTTCCTAAATTTATTTTCTTTTTAGGGATATTATGTGTATGTGTGTGTGTCCCCTTTCCTTTCTCTGTTTAGCTATGTTCTATGTGGCTTTTTTCCAAAATGGTTTTTCTTTCCAAATTTATCACTCTTGGGCTTTTTTATTATGTGAAAGTGAATGTTCCTCTAGAGAAATTTAGGTGGAAATGAACTTTATTAAAATCAAGAATCAGATGAAACTGCATTTTTGAGCTCTGTCGGTCTTATTGAAGAAGGAAGGTGAAGCAAAGAAATGAAAAAACAAATTTTTAAGAATCTCCGCTCTTCAACCAATCACCATTTCTTTAGGTTTATTTCCTGAAAGGACTTGAGTGCTCCTTTGTCAAAATAATTTACTTTCAGAATGATACTTTGTTTTTTTCGGATAGACCATGTTTGCATTTCTCCAGATTTGTGATCTTAAATTACGAAGTAGAGCAAATAAAATTGTGTCTGTGGCTCTTTGCTATGTACTAACATGAGGGAAAGGTAAAAATTATGGTTGTGTGATAATAAAAAGGCTTGCCTTCTGAGGACTGAAAGTGCCCCCTTTTATCCTTGTTTTGCCCAGTGTCTTGTTCAAAGCCGACCTCTCGTTGGTACTCGGTAAATCCTGCCCACGTGGATTGGATTATGCTGGAGGGGGAGGACGTTTGGTTTCACTGCAGCAAGGGGTTTCTTCTTATAGTTTCTCGTCTCCATTTATATTTGTGGGGATTTCTTGGAAGCAGGACTTGATATCTCATTTTCCTTTCTCAGACCTCAGCAGATACCACCGAAGCAGCAGGGATCTGTTTTTGTCAGTCATGTCTGAGCTTCCCATGGATGATTCTGTGCAGTGGAGGCTTTATAGAATGGGATGGTTACAACTCTAGATTGTAATATTTTAGGGGATGGGGACACCTTGCACAGCTCTCTACTGTGGGGAAGGGAAAGGAGGAGTGTGGGCATGTGCGTGCGCTTGCATTTATTTCTACTTTCAAAAACCAGTTGTTGTCATTCACCAGCTAAATAACCCACCAACATTGAAGGTTGCCTAAAAAGCAAAACATAATGATAGCATCTCCTTTGTGTTATTACTGCTTATACTTGCAAAGCCAATTGAAGAAACACAATCACAAAATCGAAGGTGCTGGCACAATTCAAGTGGCTGTTTTCTGATATTTAATCCAAATTGAACATTAGGCGGCTCTGCATTTCCCAAACATCAGTTGCAACATATTCTAGTATTTTGGATTTCAAGTGCAGTGTATTTGAACTTGGACGCTGCTCTCAATAAAAAGAACCATAATTATTATTCTTACCATTTGAAAATTGAAAATGAAAAATGTCCCTGCTGAATTCTAGGAGTTGCATTTGGAAGTGTAGCCCCGCCCCCCACCTTTGTGCTGCCAGTAGACCTTGAAATTAAGTTGCACCTGTGCTGCTTCCTTGTTTGTGTACCCACCTTATCAGCTGTGTTAGAGTAGCATCTGAAGAGCCCATGTCCGCCTCCCACCCCCAACCAGGCAGTGGCTCAGCAGGTGGCTTTCTCGGGATCAGGTATTGGCCTGACAGTGCTACCCCAGATGCTGCTGACAGGAGAGAGATGAGCTTGCAGAGTGCTTTCTTATTAATTGAGGCAAGAAACAAATGTGTTCCTCCTATATACCTGTCACTCTCTGTTCCATTCTTTGCAAGGGCAGCAATAAATACTTGGCTACTTGTCAGAAACAATTCTTTTGGTACCTTCACAGAAAAATGTCTGTCAATATTGGTGGTGTTTTCACTTTGTGTGGTCAAGGGCATTTGAGTTTTTGTGAAGAAAGAGAAAGAGGGCAGGAGGAGGAGGAGAAAGAGGGAAAAAAATACAGTTCAGGAGAAGTGATGCTGACCTTTGAGCCTGTGTATTTATAGCACTGAGTCTCGACCAAGGATGATTTTGCCCCCCAGGCGGCACTCGGCAATTCCTACAGACATTTTCGGTTGTCACAACTAAGGAGATGCTATTGACATCTAGTAAATAGAGGCCATGGATGCCGCTAAACAGAATTTTCTAGCCCCAAATGTCAGTTGTTTTGTAGTTGAGAAATCCTGACCTACAATGTACTGTTGGAATCTGGTATTACCATTTGTGATCAGAGCAGAAAGATGCCTGAGATGTTGAAGTTTCTTGCTTGGCCAGCTGAGACCTGAAGTCTCCTTCCCTCTTCCTAACAAGGCTGTTTGCAAGTCCCCAACCCTCACTGCTGTGACCTTTGCAACTGATCTGCTTGACCTCTAAGTAAAAGATTTTATAAACTCCCAG